TGAAAAATGAAGACAAATACACAACACCAAAAATAAAGAGGTAAAGACTGTGGTCATATTACAGACTGACTTGAGGATAGATTGTGTCCCTTATCCTTGCTATGTGTGAGGAATGACCACAGCGCTTCCAGGGGAGGATTCTGTTTCTCAGGAGCAGCTCTGACCTGGCTCAAGGCAGCAGGATGCACAGGCCGTTAGCGTCCTTGTGGCACACACAGATGTGATCTGTTATCGTGTTCTTTCCAAAAAGTTAAAGGAAAGACTTAGGAAGGACTCTGCTTTGACCTTACCAAGGTGCTGCTACTGTCAGGGAATCACTAATTCTAAAGGAACAGTGAGCTTCAATTTTGATTCGGATTCTCTCAGTTAAAAACCAACCCAACTCAACCCAGCCCAACCCAATCCAAACCAAACCAAACCACACCACCCTCCTTGGCATTTCTGTGGTGATTTCCAGTAAATCCTCAGATAAAGATACAACTCAAGGTTTGTTAACACTGAAAGTGTGAAAACAGAATGACTTAGAATTGATGTTAGTTTATTCAATTAAATGCAGTTCTTCATGCTGAGTTAGGCTTTTGTTTCTGTAGTAGACAGTCAAATGTTTCTGTAGTTTAGTACCCTGGAGAAGGTACTGAATTCCTAAAGAAATCAGACATCTCCTCCTGGTCTAGGGTTCCTGTCCCTTCATCACACAAGCACTCAAAACCAGTGTATGAGTATTTGGCCGATTAATAAAAAAACCAACCAAGGACTTTTATGGGAATTGAGTCCTGGCAATAGGTTAGCAAGTTCAGAGTAGTGAACTTTTAAAATTACAAGAACTTGTTAGAAAAGACACATGTTCTTACTTACATGTTGTCAGTGAATTGTGCTTTTTTTTGGAAGGGATATTGGTGGTAATTACCAAAGTCATAAAAATATTCATATCCTTTGATCCAGTCATTTAATTTCTGAGAGTTTAACCAAAACAGATAATTGAAAGGAAGACATAAACTGTGTTACAAAGATGTTCCTAACAGCACTGTGCATATGAAAATCCAGAAAATAACCTCAATGCTAAGTAATAAAGGAATGTTTAAATTATGGATTTTCAACCCAGAGGACTTTTACATAGCTGTGAAAACTGACAGACATGCTGTGTACCAAAATGCAAAGGTATTTCTGAAACAACTCAAAATCCTAGAAGCATTTGGGAGAAAGGCATCTTGAGTGATGCTCCATAGGGGGGAGAAAGCCATTTCTAAAGGATTTAATGAAGGCAACAAGAAAAGTCAAATTAGTGGGTTTATATCATAGATTTTAACAAAATGGCTAAATAAGTAGGATCATTCCAAGATGACAATAAATGTCAAACTTGTAGAAATCTCTCTAGATTTTCAAGCTGTGTTCTGAGAAGAGAAAAAATACACTTTCAGCACTGATAATGTTTTTAAACCCCATACTGTACATAAGGAGCAATGGGCTATCTTTGGAATGTTCTGGATGGAATCCCTTGTAGGCTTAAGGGCACCCAGTGATTCTCAGGAGTTGCTAATGAGCAGTCAACTGCCAACATCTTGCACGGAGAGTCCCTTGAGAGCAGGAAAGTTATTTTTGGAATAAGATTTAAAAAAAATTACAAAAGTCCTGATTTGGCTATTCCCCTCAAACATCCACCAGTGACAGAATGGCCAAACCTCTCTTCTTTAAGTTAAAGAAGGGGAAGTGAGGAATCCATATCTGTTGTGTGTTCTGTGTCCATCTTTGGTGCAGAGAGTTGGTTCTTAGAGTCAAGTAAAATTACCTTTGATGTTTTAAGCACTTTATTCAACGCATCAATGTTGCTGCACTGAGTGGCCATATTTAGAAAGTTCCAAGGCTTGGTCCAGTTTCTCTGGCTACACATTAGCTCAGTTCCTCAATACTGGGACCAGGGAAAGAGCATTAACGTGCTGTGCCAGCTTGTTTCCAACGTTCCCAGAAGCAGGCAAGAGTTAAATGTTTGGATTTGAGTGAGACATCCTACTAGGCTGCATGCTGTGGAGAGGGGAGAATTTATGGGAGCATGGTATGTCAAGGGACCCATAAATTAAGAAAAAGGCAGTCTTCAAGCCTGACAGTAGGGCTTGCCTGGGTCAGTCTCACTGAGTTAAACACACACACACACCTGAGTGTGCATGCACACATAGGTCGATGCTTGTCCTAATGCCATCAAAGCTTCAGGTCTGACAGTGACATCTGCAGAACAGGGCTTGGAGAAGGGACACAGGATTTATCCTGAACTGGAGAGAACATAGTGCAGTTGGAGGTTGGATATAAGAAACTCCAGGTAGGGCTGGCACTGTGGCAGAGCAGGTACAGATGCTGCCTGCAGCACTGGCATCCCAAAAGGGTGCTGATTCAACACCTGGCTGGTCCACTTCTGATCCAGCTCCCTGCTAATGGCCTGGGAAAGCAGTAGAGGACAGTTCAAGTGCTTGGGCTCCTAACTGGCCCAGCCCTGGCCATTGCAGCCATTTGGGGAATGAACCAGCAGATGGAAGACCTTTCTCTCAGTCTCCCAGTCTCCTGCTCACTTTCTCTCTCTCTCTCATTTTACCTTTCAAATAAATAAATATTTCCTTTAAAAGATTTATTTATTTGAAAGGGTTACACATAGAGAGAAGGAGAGGTAGAGAGAGAGAGGTCTTCCATCCGCTGATTCACTCCCCAATTGGCTGCAATGGTCAGAGCTGAGCTGATCCGAAGCCAGAAGCCAGGAGCTTCTTCCAGGTCTCCCACACAGGTACAGGGGCCCAAGGACTTGGCCGTCTTCTACTGTTTTCCCAGGCCACAGCAGAGAGCTGGATTGGAAGTGGAGCAGCTGGGACTCGAAGCGGTGCCCAGATGGGATGCTGGCACTGCAGGTAGCCATTTTACCTGCTATGCCACAGTGTCAGCCCCTAAATAAATCTTTTTTTAAAAAAGAAACTCCAAGTGCAATGTCATGATGGAAATGAGCTTTTTTTTTTTTCCTGGTACGATTTTATTTGATAGGCAGAGGTATACACACACACACACACACACACACACACACACACGGGGGTGCGGGGAGAGAGAGATCTTTCATCTGCTGTTCACTCTCCAAATGGCTGCAATAGCTGGGGCTGGGAGTCAGGAACTCCATCCGGGTCTTCCACATTGGGTGGCAGGGGCCCAAGTACATGGGTCATCTTCCCTGCCTTTCAAGGTGCATTAGCAGTGAGCTGGATTGGAAGTGGAGCAGCCAGGACTTGAACTGGCTCCCATATGGGATTCTGGTATTGTAGGCAGTGGCTTAACTCACCATTCCACAACAAGGAACTTTTAGAGAAAAATGTGCATGCTTAGGAGTCTAAGAGTAATGCTAAAGTGAGATAATGACTTGATTAAAGGCTACAGTAAGAAATTGGGGGTGTTCAAACATCTACATATTTAACATTAGGCATCCAAATATTTAACACTCCCATATAGTGTAGCCCCAGCAGCCAGGCTGTTCCCAAGTTCACTGTCTGAATGTCAGCCAGCAACTGTGTGGGAAGTTTGTGTGTTTTGAATAAAGAATTAACAGGCAGGGTGGGGGTGGTAACGGGTGAATTGGAAGCTACAAAAGCAAGCATGTTTTAGTTAATTGGATTGATGTTATGTGATTTGGGGAAAATCTGCAGTGTAGAAAGTCTACAGTAGTGCAGTGTTATATGAAGCTGTGTGCCTGATCCAATTGAAACTATATGTGAACATTAGCTTGAGGATTGAATAGGAGAGCATGGAGTGAGGGGTGTGTTGCTGCCGAAGCTCCAAAGAGACTAACAGACCAGGGACAATAAAGCATCTCTGTCCTCATGCTCCTTATCCCCAGAGGACCCCCTTAAAACTATTAATTTACTTGAGAGGCAGAGAGAGACACCAACCTTCTATCCACTGGTTCACTCCTTAAATGCTGCAACAGCCAGGGCTGAGCCAGGCTGAAGCCTGGAGCCAGGAACTCAATCTGGGGCTCCCACATGGGTAATAGGGACTCATGAACTGAAGCCATCATCAGTCACTGCCTTGCAGGGTGTGCGTTAGTAGGAAGCCAGAATTGGGAGCAGAGGCAAGACTTGAATTAGGCACTCTGATATGGGATGTGGGCCAAATGTTCACCCTCCCCTGAGGACCCTTGTATAAAGAACAGGTGCTAGTGAACAGAGAAATGGCATCAGAGCGATTCAAGCTCACCTTAAAAACCAGCTCAACCTGCAGGAGAGAGATTCTGGTGATGTTCTTAGAGATTCCCTTGGGTGTGTAGCCTCACATTTTTATTTTTTTCTATTTGAAAGGCCGAGCAACAGAGAGGAGAGAGCATGAAGAGACGGGGTAGGGAGGGGGAAGGGAGAGAGGAAGGGAGAGAGAGAGAATTAGAAATAGATACCTTTCATCCACTAGTTCACTCCTCAAAGAGCCACAACAGCCAGATCCTGGCCAGGCTGAAGCCAGGAGCCAGGAACTCTATCTGGGTCTCCCACATGGGTGGCAGGAGCTCACTCATCTGGGTCATCAACTGCTGCTTTCCCCAGCACAATAGCAGGAAGCTGGATCAGCAGTGGGAGCAGCCGGGACTCAAACAGGCACTCTGGATTTGGGATACCAGTGTTGCAAGTGACAGCTTAACCTGCTACACTGTGATGCTGGCCCCTGTAGCCTCACCTTTGATGAAGGGAAACCTATGCCTGTTGGGTGTATGGATGAGTCTATTGTGTATCCACTGGGTTATGCATTCACTTTGGGTAGTGGATAATTAGGGCAGACAACTCAGACTTTTCCTACCAAGGGATCTGGCCTTGAAGGCATCATGCAGCTCATAGCAGGCAAGACTTCCCTGCCCAAAAGTTGGGTCTAAATAGTGGTCACTGGCTTGTCTTTTTTTCCTCTGTGGCTTCTTTCCCATCAAGCCACAAGTTAACAATTGCCACCATTTCCTCAAGAACAGCTGAGAAAGAGAGAGAAGCTGCACTTGGAAAGAAGATTGCTTTGTACTTTATTTACAACAGAATGTAAGAAAAAGTAAGTTATTAACAATAATAAATAACTGGGGGGAAACACCGAACAGCCATAAAATGACGCAGAAGGATGGCCGATGGAGGATTAACTTGTGCTTGCTTTGCTTGTAGTCTTCAACACTGTGCGCTCCAGAACTTGGTCCTTCTGCAGTGGCAGTGGTATCTGGATTAATTTCACCAATCAAGATCCCAGCTCAAAATGTAAACACTAAAAATTACACTTGAAGCTACACATAAGTGACATGGGTACAACATCCACTCCAAGAACCTCTTCTTGGTGATACACAGAATAGAGAGACTTGCAATTCAACAGACATGCTTCCAACTTAAAGCAAAAACATTCAGAGGCGTGTCCTAAAGCATTTGTTAACAACAACAACAACAGCAGCAACAACACGACAATTAATAATGGCATCTGGAAAGTTCTCAACATATTCACATTGTCTTATTGCACTAACTCCTAAAAAGCTTACAGTTATGTTTCCAATGCAAACAGATTGTTCCGAAGGTAGAGCACAGAAGATCCCAATACACTTTTTCCTCAGCATGCCAGCGCTGTGTTATTGTCAACACTTGAGTTTTAGCAAGAATGACTAAAGTCATCTATGATCAGGCTGCAGTCACTGGATAGAATTTCTTTTTATTTTAGAGAGTATGGCTCAGATGGTGGACTGTCACAGCCCACTGAGTCAGACAGTCAGAAAGGTACTAAAGCTATTTAGACAAGTCTTCTCTATTGGATTATCTGATTATGCCTTATATGCAGTCAATTATACTCTGGTTCTGCTCAAAAAAGAAAATTCTTATTGACCTAAGCCAGCCAGTGACCTACTGTTTTGTTGTCTCTGAGCCATGGAGAGATGCTAAAGAAAGTAAATTATAAAGCACACATCAATATGTTAGCTTTGGAGTATTCACAGAAAAATGATATCTCAAGACACTCCAGAACAGATTCTTTTTACTGTTTATTACTGTGTCTTGAAAGAAAGTCACATAATCACTTCTGGGGGTATTATTGTGTTTTTTAAGTGTCTTCGTTTTATATCCACAACTGCACTACTTAATTCCTTTTCGCAACCCTAATCATGGCTAAAACACACCTCCAAACCAGTTAAAGCCGTTTTCCCGCACAGAGGCAAAGCCATAACAGAAGGGTTTATAAAATCAGTTCATCCATGAACTCATTGTTTCTGTTATAAAGGTAGCCGCCAAAAAGTCACAATCTCCTTCACTGCTATCCCCCTTTGCTTTTTGTCTTAGTACAGCCTCGAAGTGGGAGAATGAAGTGATCTCCATAGGTGATTTCTGACAACATTTATGCAATAAAAACACAGACCTCCTGAGCTAAGGAAAGCACAGGGGCTTCATATCGGAATTCCATCCAAAGTAATGAAATCTACGCGTGTTTTGATGGTCTTCACTACTATCAGAGAGGAAGTGTGGGTGAATATGCATATTATGCTATAGATGCTTTAATTTGGCTACCAGAGACTTAAAAATGGTGGTGTCAGACCACTATACTATATTTATTTATTTATATATATATATATGTACACACAGATATCATACAATTTTGGTGAACAAAGTTGAAAGTTTCCACATTGCAGACAGAGGCACTGAATTAAGGATTCTATTTTCCCCCGAACATGCTTAGTGAATTCAAGTTTCTGCCTTTTTCCTCTAAATTTTCATCATGCAGCCTTTTAATTTCCATCCTTATAAGAATTATTAATGTTCTATACACACATTCATTGCAGTTTTCTATCCAACAATAACACATTCATGTATGGAGAAAGTGAAATGATACTTGAAAACCAAATTTTATAAGGTATTGATGTTATCTGTGCCTAGTTAACTATTCAAAGCAGGTAAGGGAATATCTGCGCACCCCTCCCATTATTTATTTAATGCACACAAACCACTTGTAGACAGAAAAAGTGAACATACATTAGGAGCACACACATCTGTTGGCTAAGAGGCGCACTATCTTTGAAATGGATGTCTGTGGTATTATGCTGGCTACGAAAGCAAGAACACAGAAAAGGAAATCAAAACTTTAGCTTTCTAAAGCACATAGAATTTCCACCTACATGTTGACCTGGACAGCAGAAGCTGCTTTATGAAGAGGAAAAATAGCAACAGGATTCATGGAAACATTAGGTGCCAGATGTGTTCACAACCTGCACAAAATAAATTCATTCTCTGTGAAAATAATGAGTCCACTCCCACCCTGATTTCAGCTTGCAAATGGAAAGCAAAGACATTCACTGTCTCAGGGTCTTCTGAGAGTAGAATTTTGCTTCTACAGCCAAACGTTCTCGTTAAGCAGAGGGAGCCATTGAGAAGCTCGAGGGGTTTGATAAAAAGCTGTTTTTCCCACAAGCAAAAATCATGCTTCCATTTCATGCAAAGAAGGTGTCTCACTATGATACATCATTCCTAGCTAGGGAGGAGATGCACTGCTGACCTAAGCTATGTGCAACTGCTTTCCTCTGAGTCAACCTATAGGGAAAGAAATGATCCAGACAGTTTGACCTAGACTTGGAATACTTTGGTGCTGGGCTCCCGGGGCCAGCACCTTGCTCTGGGGGAGTGTGTCACCTCACAGAGGGCTGAGCACTGAGAGGGAAGCAGGTAGGGTCCATTGGCTGAGAGGCTGTGAGGAAAGGAGATCACGCTCCTTGGTCTATTTTGTTTCCTTTGGAATCTGTGTTTGGGGAAGGTCCCTTTCCTGAGGTTGGAGGTTATGGTCAGGAAGGCTGGTTAGGGCACGGGCCTCGGAGCCGCCCGGTTGCCCTGTGCTCTTCCTCTCCTGGAGAAAGTCGATGGTGAGATCCTGCTTGCCCTCCCCTCTGTGTCGAAAGGCAGTGAGGTGCAAAGGTTTCTCTCTTCAGATGGAAGGAGAATTCTTTCTGCCACTTTGATGAATGGTCTTGCCTCCTTTCCACCTTGATTCTAATCCTGCATTATTAGTACTTGCAGAGAAAAAAGCTAGGCATGGGGCGTCCATTCTCACTCCTCTGTACTCTACCAATAGGAGCCAGCAATTCTGCTCATCCTTGTCTCTCACTTGGCTGTGTTTACTCTGTTTCTGCAACATTCCCAATATTTGGATTTCAAGGCAGGAACAAGAGAATGACAGTCTTTCCTAAGGTCTGATGGTAGGCAGTCCGTTCCAGGGAAGTGTAAAGTTTAAGACCAAGACCAGGGGGGATGGGAGACAACTCTTTTCCAAGGTTTACACACCAGACATTCTGACGGCATTACAGCCCATTTAGCCTACCCTACTGCTGAACTTCTTTGTATGGGCAAATACTCAATGCCTTCTATTCAATTAATTGCAGATACTGAGAATTTGAATGGCTGATGGAAGTTGACAAGTCCATGTTTGTGGGTACCTCAGTAGAGAGAAAAAGATGGTTGCCTCACCTGGGTCTCTTGGACCCTAAACTAAATCATTCAAAAAAACATCATCCATGCAATTCTAAAAGGTTTCTGAGGCCCCAAGGGCACAAAGGGGAAAGTTATTAAAATATATCAACAAGTGGAATCATTATTAAATTCTGTGCAAGGTATAAATATGTTATCATTAATTGCACTTGGAGCCTCTATAGGTTGATAATTAAAATTTCCAAAAATTTAAAGGGTTAGTTAGGCCCCAAATCCTGAGTCAGACTAATCAAAATAGGAATTTCAATAACTATTGGTATTCAAGTATTGGTTACCAGTAGTTCAAAATTTAACAGTTAGGTATTTGATGCCTGAGAGTATTTTTGAGACTTTCAGGTTGGATGAGAAGAAATTAACTTCCACTATTTTACCACACCTTGTAACAAAGTGGTACCAAGTTTTTACTTATTCACCCTCCAAGTCCATGCCAATCCCATCAAATGCCCAAGAACAAGGCTTTCTCCCTGGCTTTATAGCTGTGGCTACAGAAAAATTTCTTCTATCCTTTGCAAGTCTTGTGTCTTCCCTCCACTGCGATACTGTGTGGTATATTTAGGGAATCGTATGATCTGGAATTACTTGACCACATGCACACTTGGAGATCAAAGGAACATGTTTGAGTGACAAACCAGTCTTTTCCCATATCAGAAGATTCCTGAAAAAAAAAAAAACACCCAAAAATGAAAATATAAAACCCCATGAGATATTCACATGAAGTTAATCTGATTTGGGTCGACATGGCTTCTCTGGAGAATATGCGCCAGGTAGATTCAGCGTGGCTTTTTTCTCTGGGTCTGGAAGCGTGAGAGTTTCTGGGGCAGACTTTTTCCGGGGCCGATCTTTGGGAACTGATAGAAATTCGGGTGCGTCGGTGGAGAGAGGGGTGGAAGGCGCACTGGAAGGGGCACTGCGGACCGAGGAAGGCAGCAGGGGAATGCTCGAGATAGAAATGGCCGGTGGGAAAACGCCGATTTTCTTGTTGGTAGCTTCCTGAGTGGCTCGTTCGAATTCTCGGACTTCATCCATTGTCATGTCTTCAAAGAGAAACACAGACAGGAAAATGAGCTGCAGATGGCCTCATCACTCTACCTGTTTTTAAAGGAATCAAGCCTATCACGAAGGGGCCTTTTCAGATCAACCACCCTAATGATCACTGAAATGCTACCCCCCAGTTTTTCCTTGTTACTGAGGCATACCCAGGAAAACCATATTCTTTCTCAAGTGTCCACCCAAGATTTTCCAAAGCACTCTGCAGTGAGTATTTTAAGTAATCTCAATAAGGACTTAACAGGAGGGGACAGCACTGGCCCAGAGTGTGTGTGAGTGTGATTCTGGGTCTGGCGTTGGGTATATGGAGCTGTTAGCAGACCTGCTCATCTCTCCCATCAAGAGAAAGTAACTCACCCAATCACCACCCTGAAATGAAACATGATGGGGGGTATTTCAGAAAGTTCATGGAAAATGGAATTTAAAAATAAGCTCATTTGGGGGCAAAAATTGTTATTTTAAAGTTTTATTTATTTAATTTGATAGGCAGAAAGAGAGACAGATTTCTAATCTGCAAACACCTGCAGCTGCCAGGGCTTGGGCCAAGCTGAACCTAGGAGCCAGGAACTCAATCTAGGTCTCCCATGTGGGTGGCAGGGGTCCAGTTACCGCAGCCAAAAGCTGCTTTCCAGCACTGCACATTAGCAGGAGTCGGGACAGAGCTGGGACTCGGACCCCAGGCATTCTGATATGGGATGTGGTTGTCCCAAAGCAGTGTCTCAATCACTATGCCAAATTCTGGCCCCCTACCCCAAGTCTGAAATCCATGTATACAAGAGGTCTCCAAAAAGTTCACAAAAAATGTATATTATGAAAGAACTAAACATGGTTTTAAAATTTTTTTGTATCAAAATAAACTTACCTTTTAATCCCATTTTCCATGAAGTTTTTGAGGCCACCCGGGTGTTACTGTCAACTTTACATCATGAATGAACAAATGTGCCTTCTACATGGTAAGCAGCTGAATCTTCAGACTGTCTCAACGTGCTATCTTTTTACTCAAGGAATAAATATTATGTTGTGTAGGGGCACTGATTTCCTGTAGTGGTTACTAATTTCCTGACTGTGTGTATCCATCCATGCTTAGGTTCAGTGTTTAATTCTGCTATCAAACCAAGGAAGGGGACTGGCACTATGGCACAGAGGGTAAAGCTGCAGCCTGCAGTGCCGCCATCCCATATGGGTGCTGGTTTGAGATGCGGCTGCTCCACTTCCAATCCCACTCTCTGCTATGGCCTGGGAATGCAGTAGAAGATGGCCCAAGTCCTTGGGCCCCCGCACCCATGTGGGAGAACTGGAAGGAAGCTCCTGGCTCCTGGTTTCGGATTGGCCCAGCTCTGGCTGTTGCGGCCATCTGTGGAGTGAACCAGCAGATGGAAGACCTCTCTCTCTGCCTCTTCATCTCTGTAACTACCTTTCAAATAAATAAATAAACCTAAAAAAAAAGTAAGAGAATAACAAACCCCACTAATTATCTCAAAGCCAAGAAAAGAAAACCATTTCTCAAAGGAACTTGAAAGAGAAAGAATAGAGAATGGCAAGAGAGGGTCAGTCAGTGAGATGCTTTTGTTCACGAGATAAAAAGCATTACAGGAAATTCAGCAAATAAGTCAGCAATGCCCCCTTTCACAGGCATTGCCAGAAAACGTGGATTTTCCAGATAGTTGAAATGTCCGTGTTAAATAAGAAAGCAAAAATATTTTTAAGTGTAAATCTTCCCCCAGGGTATTTAATGTGTATACTTACTGCATTTGAGATGTACTAGATGGGAAATATTATCACTATGCAACAATACAGTGGCCACTTCTTTCCCAGGTCCATTTGCTCTTTATTCTTTGGTATCTCTTCTCTCATTCTCAAGGACTCATTCATATTTTCATTATTAATTACAGTCAGTCTGGTTATTTCTGGTATACTTTGCCATTTTTATTTGCTGGCAATAGGGAATACAAGTAGCTAGGCTTAATGGAGTAAGCCCTGTAGGCTCATTCTTGAGCAAGATACAGATCTGCTGCCTGAGGATTTTCTACATCTATTTTCACTGCCCAGAGGCCACCTCTTCGTACTCTCTTGTCCTCTACCACGTGCTAAGTAGTCGAAACTTCATGAGATGCCACTGCCTGGATAAACTAGCATGAAACAATACGGCCACTCTGGAAATATCAAGTTTGGGGTGATTATTAATAACAGTATTCATCATTAGGTCCTCATAAAACATCGGAGTAGACCAGAAATAGATTTCTGATAAAATAAAATCCTTCAGAGGATTTTCTGGAAATAATTATTAAAACTTTACACAAGGGGACAGTTTTTATGAAGAAATGCAAAACAACTATTGTATTGACCTAATATAAAATTCTGAATACATCAACAAAAATTATATTTAACAATTTATCAAGTTTTAAAAGTACTACAATTATTCGGCCTGGCGTGGCTCAGCAGGTTAAGTCACTGCCTATGACTCCAGCATCCCAAATCAGAGTGTCGGTTTGAGTGACAACTGCTCTGCTTCCAATCCAGCTCCCTGCTAACATGCCTGGAAGGCACTGGAAGATGGTTTAAGTGTTTGGGTCTCTGCCACCTACCTGGGAGACCAGGTTGGTGTTCCAGGCTCCTGGGTGCAGCCTGGTACAGTAATTAGGGGATGGAAGCTTGCTTACTCACTCTCTTCCTCTCTCTCTGCCTCCTTCCCTCCCTTGCTTTCTTTGTTACTCTGCCTTTCAAATAAATAAATTTTAGAAAAAAAAATACTGAGATTATTAAGCTAAGTGAGTTTTTTTTAAAAAGAATTTGCTTTAAAATAAACTTGAGACTCATGGGGCCAGCGTTGTGGCATAGAGGGTAAACCTGCTGTCTGCAGTGCCAGCATCCCATATGGACGCCTGCTCAAGACCCTGCTGCTCCATTTCCGATCCAGCTCTCTGCTATAGCTTGGGAAAGTAGTAGAGATGGCCCAAGTGCTTGGGCTTCTACACCCATGTGGGAGACCTGGAAGAAGCTTCTGGCTCCTGGCTTTGGATCAGCCCAGCCTGGCTATTGAGGCCATTTGTGGAGTGAACCAGTGGATGGAGAACCTCTCTCTCTCTCTGCCTCTGCCTCTCTGTAACTCTGCCTTTCAAAATAAATAAGCAAATCTTAAAAAAAAGTCTAGACTCAGAAGAATTTTAGTGAATTGGGATATGGTGTGTTTTTGCTATCATAAATGGATATTGTCTTTGAAAAATTAGACTTTGTAAATGAGTGGCCAAATACTTTGTGCTACTCCACACATCCAGCAGGGGGCAGAAACCATCCAGTGCACAGTTTGATTTTCTGCACGGAGAATCTTATCCAAGTTTCCTTCCCTGAAGGCTTTGAAAAGACTCAACTGAAAATGCAGTTGTTATTTCCTTCTCGCTGTGTTTGTGGACCTTACTTTTGCATCACTCCAATCTAATTCGTCTCTGCTCAGGCTGATGACTTATTCTCATGCAGTTTTTATTTATGGTGGATGGCAGCCTCATGCTTTTAACCGATTTTCATTATGTTAGAGGAGAAAGACTATGGAAAAAGAAATGACCCACAATATCAGGAAATTCCAAGGAATAAGGGAGACGTACACATTCAAACAGCCACTGTGCCTAACTTCTCAGGCAGCTGGCATCTTGTGTGCTGAGTCATGGGAAAAGCCGTCAGTTACAGCCAGAGAAAACACAGGTTTTCCCATGGGGAGGACCATCTGAGGTTGTCACTTTCTACATAGTAAACTGACTTTATAATAGTAATAACCAGAGTTAAGACCAAAAGGAGGCCAAGCAGAGCCTTAGGCTATAAGCTTTCAGAACCTTCTAGAATGAGAAAAGTACTGAGCTACCTACCCTATAGAGAAGTATTTCTGTGGCCTCCTTTGCCTGGTGATATTTACAATAAACAGCTTTCCCAGCAATGGAGGGAAACTGGTGTCTGACACTCCTAAAAGAGGGAAGGAAATTCAAGTACAGTTTCCTAAGAGAGGGTCTCTAACTTTGGTAGAAGGAGAAAGGAGGCGAGAGGTTTTGTTGGCATTGGTCTGAGTGCACAGAGAGGAAACACTTCAGGTAAATCTTGCCCAAAGAGTTTTCTGCAAATCCAATCACTGCATGCTAGGTGGGAAGCAAGAGTTAGGGGCCTAGTGACCTCAAGGGCAGTCACATGCGGCCAGCGGCAGCCCACGAGCCTCGCAGGGAACATTCCAAAGACATGCTCTCAATACTTAACTGCGACTCTCCGGAGAACAACCAGAAGGCCTCACAACTGTAAAGCATCCATTCACAGCCACAGCACCTCTCAATTTTCTATAACCACATTTGTGATCTTTAAAAAGCCTAACTTGTATTATTCTGGAGCCTAGGCTAACAGACGGGCAGGTTCAAGGTGGAACCTAAAGAAATCACAGCTCTAGCTAAGGATGCATATACATAATTTATTTGCTGATATCATTTTCTTTGTTAGCTGCATCTTTTCTTCATTAGTATGGAAGATTGAGAGAGAATTACATTTAAAATGCTGGCCTTGGGCTGGCATTGTGGTACGGTGAGTTAGGCAGCAGCCTGGGTTCTATATCTGAATGTGCAGTTGAGTCCTGGCTGCTCCACTTCTGATCCAGTTTCCTGCTAATACTTCCTGGGAGGCAGCAGATGTTGGCTCAAGTGCTGGGCCCCTGCTACCCACGTGGGAGACCAGGATGGAGTTCCAGGCTCCTGGCTTCAGCCTGGCCCCAGCTCTAGCTGTATGGAGCATTTGGGGGGAATGAACCAGGAGATAGAAGATCTCTCTCTTACTCTCTCTCTTTCAAGTAGATGAAAATAAATAAACACTTTTTAAAAATTCTGGCATACACCATACAGTTCGCTCTCAATTTCCATGTTTGATTTTAGCCAAAAGACTGAGAAGCGATCAGTTCTCAATGTCCAGTATGTGATTCAATAACATGGGGCTCTGTGTGGCTAAGTCCCAGGCCGCAGGCAGTTGCAGCTCAGCACATTCCTGGCTCTCCACCCCTTCACTGCTCAGACTGTGGGTATGCACATACTGCAACCCCAGCTTGAGATTACCCTAAGCAAAAAGGAACTGATTGGGTAAGACAGCTATAAAGAGCCTTAGAAAGCATTTCGAAGCAAATGTATAGAAAACTAAAATAGCAGATGAGCCAGAAGCCCTCCCTCGAATGAATAAGCGAATGTTAGCTATGTTTTTAAAAGTTACTGACATATTGTTCTAGTTTACATATGACATCCATTTTTATTCCTCTGCCTTTTTATGCTGCAGGCTGTTTTACTAGGACCACAAAATGTTTCCACGCTCCATGATCTCAGTTTTGTGACCCAGATAACACCCAAGTGAAGCAGCTTCGAAGAACTGAAATGGCTGGAAGAGAGGAACAGAGAGAGAGGTGACACTGTCCAACTTCAAACCCAGCTCAGTGACTTCACCCATAGCTTCTAGGGGGTGACACATTTTTCTAGAAGGTTGGGAACCGAGCGTTTGGAGGATTTCAAAGGTCAGTTCACGTGTGCGTTTTGGTAGAGGGTGGGCAACATGTTTGAAAAATTCTACATACACTTGTTTGGGCCTGGCTGTCTACGTCATCCACAGTGGAGGAATGCTGATTGCAAACTTTTATGTTGGTTTGTTCATGCATGTTTTTCTCGTATTCCCGAACATCATCCATTGTCATATCTGAAAGAGGTCAAGACGTTGGCAACTTCCGTTATTAAATGCAAACTTTCAATGGGCAGACTATAAGGAAAGATGGCAGCTTAGCAGAGGCCAAAGAGATTTTAAAAAGCAGGGAACGGGCTAACTTTATGAAGAATGAGTCATAAAGTTAGCTAAACCAGCCAAAGGAGAAGTGAGGGCAAGGAAGTTAAGTCAAATAGTCTTAGAACAGAGAAGACTGGAAATTGTTTAGGGGTGATTCTTGAAGAGTGAGCGTGGTGGGGAGAAAGTATTAGCACATGGGCAGTGCTGCAGCCCGAGATCTCCTAAAGCTTTGTTAGAAGATCCCTTTAGGGATAGAGGGTCAGGCTTGTTTGGTTTAATACTTACCTTCCATATACCTTTCAAAATAGATTTAGAGATCCTTTAATCCACGCATTCAACAACCTAAAGGGCACTTGCATTGCTATCGTAGGAGTCAGGATGTACAAGGCAGAGCAGTGACATTCACTGGTAGATGTGAGATTGGGTGCAATCCGCACTCACACAGAGATGGCTTTTTGTGCAGAATACACCGTGTCAGAGAGCGCAGGTCTACATGGAACTGTGAGTCTAGCCTAACAGCTTGAAGATGGCTGGCACTACTTCCACCCACGCTGATCTATAAATAAAATGGCACATGACATGATTTTTGGCCTAAGTTTGCAGTTTTTCGATATTTCAGGATAATGATTTCTTATTCCAGTGGTTCTCCATGGGGAGTGATTTTTTTTTGACATTTTGGCTGTTGCAGGTGGGGAAGGGGTGCCACTGGCATCCTGTGGGATGATGCAGAACGTCCTACAAAGCAGAGGTCCCCCAGCCCCCAAGAGAGAATTCTCTGGTCCAAAATGTCAATAGTGCAGAGGGTGACAAACTGTCTTAATTCAGCTGATAAAGAAGAGACCCATCTATCTTCAGTATGTGAAATGCATAACAATGACAGCTCTGTTGTTGTATCTCTCCCCACCTCCATCCCTAGGCGCACTCACAGCACTTTATCAGCAATTTCCCCAGATGGGCATTCCTTTGCTGCTCTGTGGGCAGGATTTAACTTCGTGTCTTTTCACGGATGAAGGTCTGCTCAACCACTGCTTCATCAACCACCCTGATCGCTAATTGGCTCAGTGGGGATTTGCAGTGGGGATTCACAGCTGGAATTTTTGCGCAAGTATTTTTGCATCACGTGGTTCAGTGTCTTTTTATATCAATCCATGTGTCATGTGAGAGTCTATTCCTCTCCAAAGGGCAGACTTGCCAGAAGTTTATGATTTAATTTGCCGTGGTCTAGGGCCAAGGCAGAGGGAGGCTCTAAATCCAGCCTGGACTATTTCACCAAAGCTGCTGATCCCCACCCAGTACCCTGAAATCATCAGTCATAGGCACTCTCCGAAAGCAATGTAAGCATCAAGAATGCTAAGCAGTGGTCCGGCCAGGCAAAGAGCATGCTTATCTTTTAGAAAATTGAGGTAACCGACAGCAATAGAAAGATGCCATTGTGCGATTAGAACAAGTGCATCTTAGTTCATAGCAACACATTCTTTCAACACAATCACTTTAATTGCAATGGCTGGGTATCAAAAATTTTTAAACATAAATACACCTGGAATGAGTATGAAGAGGTCATTTTTAGTTGGAAGTTTAAAACTTTGAGAAGTTTCTCTCTACGTGTCTGACGTTATTATCCCCTAAAGACCCCAACAGGCAGGATGGAAGTTTGGAAGACACATGCAAAGGAGTCTTAGTTTTTATACCCTAGTGAACCACAGCAGAAATTATTCTTTATCTTTAATTAGCTCCATTCTAAGGGAGGACTTGACTATGTGACTGTGGGCTTTCAAAGACAGATCTATTTTATGGGTGTGCTGAAGGATTTAGCAACAAAGATGTTTGTTACAAACTTGTTCAGAAAAATTGAAAACAATTCAAGCGACTGACAGTGGAATGTGATCATTAAAAATCAGGAGGAAGAATATTTAGCATTCCTATACAGATATAGCATTCATATTCACATTGTTATATAAAGAATAGCAGATAGAAATTGTATACATCATATAACTAATCATTGGTGTCAGAAAAGCATTATCTCCATTTAATAACACCAAAAGCATACATTTCAAAATGTTAACAGTGGGGGCCAGCACTGTAATGTAGCAGGTAAAGCTGTTGCCTGCAGTGCCGTCATTCCATATAGGCGCTGGTTCGAGTCTCGGCTGCTCCACTTCCGATCCAGCTCTCTGCTATGGCCTGGAAAGCAGTAGAAGATGGCCCAAGTCCTTGGGCCCCTGCACCCACGTGGGAGACCTGGAAGAAGCTGCTGGCTCCTGGCTTTGGATCGGCACAGCTCTGACCATTGAGGCCAACTGGGGAGTGAACCAGTGGATGGAAGACCTCTCTCTCCCTCTCTCTCTCTCTCCCTCTCTCTCTGTGTAACTCTGACTTTCAAATAAATAAATAAATCTTTTAAAAAAATGTTAGCGGTGATTATTTTGAGGAGCTACAGATCACTTCCTTCTTTTTACTTGAGTATATTTTCTAAATCTTCTGCATCAAATATGTATTACTTGTGTAAGAAAGGAGAGCATTATTTAAAAATCAATTATCTGGGGTCATTACAGATGAATCCATTGATTTGGAAGTAGTAAGGAAAAGATATACTTTTGTGAAATTTTCGATCATCCTAGGAACAACTCATTCTTTTTTTAAAGAGGAAATAACATTTCAGAAGATTCCATGTAATGATAAACATTCTCCCAATTAGATCACATAAAAATGAACATCTTAGGAGAACAGTTCTCTAAAAAATGATTATTTGGTCTCCACTGATGCTTAACTATCTCCACAAACCATAAATGTATCTGGGAATGATGTAAAGATTCCCAGCATCTGTCTCCGTCATTTATGGCCATCTTAATCAAGTGAAAATGTTCCTGTCCAGAGTTTCTGGGTGAAACATATCGTGTCTTGCTTCTGCAACATATATTACCGCCAAATCTATATGCGAGTCAAGTTTTAATAAACCCAATGACCTGTGCCTGGGGGACAGATTACACTTTCGGGGGTGATTCATCTTCATTACTGATTGATTTTCAATGACCAATGTGTCTTCTAACAATTTAGGTTCACATCTCTTTGCTTCTACAAACAAATGCGTACATGTAGCACACACAATCTTAATTAAAGGAACCCTAGGTCAATTATTTTGAAAATAAATTGGTAACTAATAAACTTTCAATTTGTAGGTTTTTGAAAAGCCATACTTTATCTTTCTCAAATAACGGCTCCTTAAGTAAAACCTTCTTGAACAAGGAACATTGGGGCTAGTCACCTGGTCTAAGAAAGTGCTGGGATGAGCACAGGACTCTTATCGGAAGGTTCATCCTAATGTCTCTGAGCCTGCTGACAGAATCGGCACTGAAGTATCCTGGGGTACAGTGCCCACCTCACTGCACTGTAGTGGGACGAAATCTCCTTGTCCTGTTCTCTTCTTCCTGACCATTTCTTCCCTACTCCTTCCTGCCTCCCCTTAGGCGAGGGGAAAACAGGCCCCAGGTCTCGGCTATCAGGGTGTGGAAGTCGCACTGCCCTGGGCCTGGTAGCACCTCCTCCTCCCCCAGGTGACTGGATGGAGACCACAATCTCCCCCTCTACCACCAACCCAGTTCTGACAAAGAAGTCTGACCAGGGGGATTCACTACTTGAAGAATCTTGGTTTCCTGAACTCTGAACTGAAGGCTTGCATTGAAGACCAAAATAGACCTCAACCATATGAATCTTAGGTTGCCTCCCCCATTTTCTTTTTTGTATAAAATATCATTTTCAATTGTTATATGTTTAGGGACTCATTCAAGTAATGCGTGAATTATGTTCCATTAAATTGTTCACATAGTCCCAGATTATGGGGAGAAAAGAGTTTAATTTATGTGACCTTCTCCCACCAATCCTATTTCTTCTCCCAGAGATGACACTATTAAAAGCTGGAGGAATACACTGGCGTATTTTTTATTCTATGAAATCACATACTCATGTATGTCCCTCCTGGTTTAGTTATTTATTTTTACATATAGGAATTATAAGATCATATACTATACTATACATATTGAAAATACGGTTTTAACTTGCTTTTTACAGTAATGGAAAGAACTCCCTTATTCTTTGTAACTGCTGCACACAATATTCATGGTGTGGTTGCATCATAATTTCCTTGACCATAGTCCTGTTAACGGGCATTTATACTGACACTATCTATTAGCTTTCATAAACACCACCACACAGAATAGCTTTGTACATGCATTCGGAAGCACCTATGTATTTCTTAAGAACAAATTCTGGAAGTGGAGTGGCTGGGTCACATGTTCTTTGTACTTACCACTTTAACAGTGATTTTGTACTTCATCATTTTCTATCTAAAACTGGATATTATTAATCTCTTAAGATTTTTTCTATCAGAAAGGCAAATGTCTTATGTTCTTGTTTTCATTACACTTGTGATTAGTAGTGAATGTAGTGGCCATTGTATTTCTTCTATGATTTATCTATTCATTCTTAATTTTTTTCTGTGCTTGAATTTTTGATTTCTTACTATAAATATTAACTCTCTTTGGAAATACACTGTCCTAGTCTTTCAACTTTAAATTACTTGATTTTTAAGGAAGCCAGGTTGACTTCATAAGAAGTGGAGGCAAGAGCATACATTTGCAAGGCTGTCAGGATAGAAGTCAGCCAAGGGGCTGGTGCTGTGACATAGCAGGTAAAACTGCTGCCTGCAGTGCCAGCATCCCACATGGGTGCCGGCTGGAGTCCCGGTTGCTCCTCTTCTGATCCAGCTCTCTGCTATGACCTGGGAAAGCAGTGGAAGATGGCCCAAGTCCTTGGGCCCCTGTACCCATGTAGGAGCCTCAGAAGAAGCTCCTGGCTCCTGGCTTAGGATCGGCACAGCTCTGGCCATTGAGGCCATCTGGGGAGTGAACCAGTGGATGGAAGACCTCTCTCTCTCTCTGCCTCTGCCTCTCTATAACTCTGACTTTCAAATAAATAAAATAAATCTTAAAAAAAGAAAGTCAGCCAAACACACAAAGAAGCTATAAATACCCTGCACCAAATGAATTTTCTGTCACTGTGCTACCCAGGTGCGGCAGCTAAACTTTTATTTATTTATTTCTTAAAGATTTATTATTATTATTTTTTATTTACTTTAAAGTCAGAGTTACACAGAGAGAAACGGAGAGGCAGAGAGAGAGGGGTCTTCCATCCACTGGTTCACTCCCCAGATGGCCTCAATGGCCAGAGCTGTGCCGATCCTAAGCCAGGAGCCAGGAGCTTCTTCTGAGGCTCCTACATGGGTGCAGGGGCCCAAGGACTTGGGCCATCTTCCACTGCTTTCCCAGGCCACAGCAGAGAGCTGGATCAGAAGAGGAGCAGCCGGGACTTGAACTGGCACCCACATGGGATGCTGGCACTGCAGGCGGCAGCTTTACCCGCTACGCCACAACGCCAGCCCCAGCAGCTCCAGTTTTAAAAACGAGAGCCTTACGCTCTCACGCAGCAACCCACCCAGTGGCATGCTCTTCTTTATTTCCTGATTTCCCTCTACAAACATTTTCCCTCGAGTTCTAGTTCCCTCAGCCAAAATAGAAGTCATTTTTTTCTCATTCTGAGAAAAAATGGAAGTCTTGAACAAGCAGTTGGGGGAGGGAGGCTCCAGAAACCATGAATTAATTAGATTGGAGATCACTCTGGCTCCAGGAAAATGGTGATCACCTTTTGGGAAGTAACACTTTTTAACCCATTAAGTGATTATAAATTCAATGAATGCTTGTTACAAAGAGCTTAAGGTGGCTCCACCTCTTTGTAGAGAGAATAGCCAACCCTTGAGGTTGGTGCAAACTCTTTCCATGTCATTCAACCCACTCAGATCTAGAACTGTAACCTCGAGTTGGGGCTTTTTCTGTAGTTCTAATTGGAGTAATGGGTATGCATGGAAAGGTTCACAGACATATCTACAGGATATCTGTAGAAAATCTGATGGAAAGCTATGGGCTCTCTCCCCAGAAAAATGTACATGAACACCCACAGAAAATGTTGCGTAAGAGCCAGCACTCAAGTTCCTATCTCAGAAAGCAGGGGGTCATTGGGAAATGCTGCCCGGTTGAACTCAACCGCAGAATGGGAGCCCCTGGCAGGCTTCCTTGTCCACCCTGAGCTTGCCTCACTCACTCTCAGGCACCGGCCCAGGCTGATTTCTATGTGACTTTTCATAGTTTCATCTACACGAGCCAGAACTCCCCCCCACCCCATACTTTTTGGGAAGAGTCAGATTTTCAAAGACATTCATGAGATTCCACCAGTCCCAGGCTCCCTCTGGCAATCTTCTGTGTTCCTCTCTCAAAATACCGTCAGATTTGTGAGGCAAAACCATGCTTTTGTGAAGCCTGGCTGCCTATTTTTATCCATCTCCCAGATCACTCCATCTTGTGAAGTGTGTTCTTGTTGCTTTTCTGATGAGGGTTCTAGCCCTGCAGAGAGACCCACAGCTCACGGATAAAGCCCAGTTAGAGCTTTGAAAGACAAACTCAACTCCTCCAACACAGAAATGGTTGTGCTTTACAATGAACATGAGCAGAATAACATCTGTTTAGGGAAACAGTTTCGTGACTGTCAAATGCTGGAACTCAGACGAGATGCAGAATTAGTCCTTGGGTGAGAAAAAGATCACCATCCTCTACAATATCTTTTATTTTTCCTTGACTCTTAATTGAGCATTAGAGATGGTGCTATCCAAGGCTGCCCCTGCATTAGGGTGTACAGTTTGTGCAGTGTATGAACATACAGCCAGTGGACAGACTGGGGCCAAAATTCAGCCACACCCATGACACCTGCAGAGTCTGCCCAGAAGGGATGCCATTTTCTAATTCATCTGTCTAAACGGAGTGCTTTTTTCCTAACTCTCAGTGGGGTTTGGCAGTTGGCCTGAAGACTTCTCTGGTAGTCTAGTCTAACCTATTTGGACTAAATTAAACTGTCCTTGCAATCCAATCTGGTTTACAGCCTATGCTATAAACCAGTAGTTCTGAAACTTTGCCCAGCTCTAGAATCTTCCAGAAGGCTTGTTCAAACAGATTTTTGAACTACATACCCAGAGTTTCTGAGTCTGCAGAGTTGGGATAGGGCTTGGGTCTCTGTATTTCTAACAAGTACCTGGGGGATGCTGATGTTGCAGGTCCAGTTGCTTAGGAAACCAGTGCTATACACTGTGAATACAGTGATAGGTGAGGGTTTCTTTACTTTGGACGTTTCCCAGGTTTACTACTGAAGAGTCTCACCGAGCCTAAACACGCCAAAGAAAAATGAGCAATTTCAGGTAGCCAAGATGGGTGGGCGCTTGGCCTCGGTGACAGTAACACACCCATTTGCCTGAAAGGCCCACAGTTTCCTTGAACAAAGGACTGAGAAGACACTGTGTGGGCAGGGACCATTTCCGGTCATTTGATTGACTGAGTTCTGCATGTGTGCCTGGCCAGCAGCTCAGCTGAGGGTGTGGAAGCCTGCAGGGTTGACCGGAAGTGGATGATGCGGTTCTCAGATGCCTTGCTGAGTGAAAACTGCTGCTTGTTTTGGTTGGGACACAGCGAGTGGAGACCTATTCTGGGGATTCCAGGCACCTTGATGATTTACACCCACTAATGGCCACACTGGGGCTTTTTGGGAGTGTTTATTTACAGAAAGTGCTTTTTGGGCAATAGGTTCCTGGAGTTGTTAACTGTCTCCATCTAACTCTTCCTTAGTAAATACCTAAGTGTTCTCAAAGGTTCTCTAGACTGGACATCTCCCATTTCCTTTGATGCACTATTCTAGCTTTGGGTAATTTGAGGATTCTCTCCCCCATTAAAAATCCTTAAATTGCTTCCTTGCCCTAGGCTCAGCTGAGCTAGAGAAGAGTCTGTCGGTCCGCTCTGTGCCCAGACAGTCACTCACTAGAAAGCCCTGTACTTCTTTCACTTCCTATCAAACCCACCTCTAATCAAACCTGCTTTTCTGATATAGAGCTTCCTGGCGTTTTGTCCTTTTGATCAGAACATGGCTGCTTTTTCTGATGTCGCCTTTTCTGAAAAGCCCTCTTTGGCACTCAGGCCCTAGAGAGAAACCTATCCAACTGCCTGTCTTTGAGTCTTCAGAGTGGCAGATTTTTGGCGCTTCAGGTGTCGGTTCTTTTGCCAAACTTCTAATCAGTATGAGCTCATGAGTCTTTGGATATCATTTTGCTATGCCCTTGGTATTGGTAGCAAGGAAACCTTCGGCTCCAAGGAGTACAAAAGAGACCAGGAGTTCTTAACCTCTTTTTTGTGGTTTGTGCTCCCTCTGAGAATCTGAATAAAGCTCCCTACAAAGAACACACTAGAAATATTTGAGGATGAGAGGAAGTCGTCACAGGAGACTCCTTCCACCTGTCTCACAAAAGACAACCGCAAATGGACAGGTCTTTGGGGAACTTCGTGACAATGTGACAAGCCAGTGCTCTTACTACATGAGCACAGCATGGGGGAGTGTGTGATTAGAGATTAAATGATGATCTGTATTTGGACAGACATGCGAAGATGCATTGGCTCTTTCGAAGGTGCAGATCTGGGAAAATTGCAAAAATAAAATAAATCCATGGCCTACAGAACCATGCCTTTCTAAACGCAACTCAGAAATAGCTAACAACATTAATAACCATCACTGTCTTTGCCTGTTTCATCCACTGTATGTTTTTACTTTAATGTTCGTGCCTTCTGCTAAGAACAGGGAGAGAATTGGTGGAACAATGATGGAAAAGGACCAGAATGCAATCCAGGTTACACTCAGGACAGATAATGTGACTTAGGGAAAGGCCAAGGAGGAGGGCATTTCACTGGATAACCAACCTGAAAATCAGATCTAACCTAAGTCACCCCCTGGGTGTGTTCATTTCTATTTATAGCCAGGACAAGAGCTATCTGATGACTGATTCTGGGAATGCAGAGGATTTGTGTGGACAGAACAGGCATGCAGAGGGTCTGGGAAGGATGGTCCATCCATCATGGAATGAAGCAAACCTTGTTTTTATTTATTGGAAATGTGCAGAACTTGTTTAACTCTTCCTAGGTCATGAAAAAAGGCCAGGATAGTTTCAATTAGAATTAACAAGGCACCTCTGCCTCTGTCTGCTCTGAAAGTTTTGCAGAATCTTTATGTATCTGGTGACAAATTGTTTCAAGTGTTTTCTGAATCAAAGAACTGTGTTCACTTGACGTGATACTTCAGACAGCTTTGATCCTGAATAGTCATTTGGGATGCACTGAATTGGGTCTGAAACCCATCCAACAGAGAATGAGGGAGCTCTGTGTATCAAATGACAAGCATCAGAAACACTGAGGTCCCGCTTAATCAATAGTTCTGTGTTTAGCCCAAGCTTCTGCATTACATCTCATTATGCCTAGCGGACAGTGCTGTTTCCAATACAGGAAGCAGCAGCCTGCCTCTGTTTTTGTCCTTCTAGGTAGCAGTTGAAACCAAATGGCCAGAAGTCCAAGTCCACATGTTAAGAAAAGGTTCTCCAAGTTAGTGTGGGGAAGTTGACTTACCATACCACTCATCAACCCATGCGAAAGCCTGTCTATGTCCAATCAGCAGAATGTCTCGGACCACCTGGAAAGCAAAAGGCGGAGGTTGAAACAATACCACGTTAGATGAAAACTATTTGGAAAACAGACTGCTTCCCATTCGGGGAATCCTGGTGATGAGCGCTCTCTCAATCCCTCCATCAGTATGTGGTGACAATTATAGACTGAGACACACAGATCATGTGCCTGCTCACCCCCGGCCCTCTGCATGGTGTATGCATACTTGCTGGAAATTAGTTTCTTTGTCTCATCTGAGACTTGGGTTGGGGATGTGTGAAGAGTGATGACAACTGCTCGGCAGTCACGCAGCAGTGATCTGAATGACTCTCTAGACTAATCACCTTGGGGCTCTTCTCTCCATTTATCTTTAACCGAAACAGTGTCTACTTTTCATTTGTGGGAGGGTGTACATAACTCACTGGTACCAGGAGGTCCTACATGCTGGAAATCAAGAATGCTTTTCCGGGCAGTGAGCCACTTCTACACAAAGAGCCCTTAACACTCCCTGTTCTCTGATGAAATATCGCAAATACTGATTCAACCTTTTAAAAAAATAAAAGAAGGTGTAGGATACAAGATGAATAAATATTCTTCTAGGTTCAACTTTTATGGGATCGGGGTGGGAAAAGCAGCTTAGCAAACTTACTATTTTAAAAATCAATCAGCTAATTAATTTGAGAGGTCAAGAGAATGAGAGAATGAGAGAGAGAGAGAGAGAGAGAGAGAGCGAGCGAGCCTCCATCTGCTGGCAGACTCCCCAAATGCCCACAAGGGCTGGCATTGGGCCAGGCTGAAGCCAGGAGCTCCAAGCTCCCAAGTACTTGAACTGTCACCTACTGCTTCCCAAGAGCTGGGATGGCAGGAGGCTGGAGTCCGGAGCTACAGCCAGGCATTGAACCCAGGCACTCTGATGTGGGATGCTGGCTGGCATCCTAACTGCTAGGCCAAATGTCTGCTCCCAGTCAACTGTGATCGAAAGAGATGAAACAAGAGACCTCAAGTAGAATAGAACATAATGGGAGTGATAGGGTTGGCTGGAGACAAAAGGAATGAAGTGGTTACTTAGGGTGACATGTCATGATAACAGAGAGCTAAGGAAGATCGCTCAGACCCTGTGTGTGTGTGTGTGTGTGTGTGTGTGATACTGTTCACGTGCTCTCATGGTTTCCTGTCTCGCCCTGCATAAATTTGTTTTTAATGTTTCCTGCAAGCTCACAGTCTCCCTCTAACATTCCTTTCTTTCTGCCAAACAAGTCCAGTGATTGTCACAAATCTCTCCTGAAGGGCTCAAGCACGTTTCAGTAAATGATGGATTTGCATTTGGTGAATTTGCAAAAACAAGGGAAGCGTTTATCATGAAGTGTTTATTACTCCTGGCCTTTGGATACCTGGTGAGGCTTTTTAGGATTTGGAAGTAGGAGACATGTACTGAATGTAAGAAACAGCGCACAGTGCTGAGTGTGTCAAATTCATGGAATTCAAAAGAACAGCATCCAGGCATCAGTAAATACACCCTATTACATTGAGCACAACACAGCTGTCGGCTGGAAACAAGAATTCAATAATGTGCTAATGGCTCTGCTTTCCAACATCCCCCCACCCCCCCCTAACCGTGAATAGACTCTTAAAAAACAAAGGTGTTCAGAGAAAGGCATGCCTGGCACTTCAGATCCATTCAAATGCTGGCCTCAGATACTCATTAGTGACTTATGTGCCAGAGCAGGTGTGTTTCAGGGGCTTGATCACACTTCATTATATTTGGAAATGGGCAAGGGGAATGCCTGTAACTAGAGCATCCTCTGACAGGTATTTTAAAAAAATGGATTCTGGAGGCCAACACTGGGCACAATAGTTAAGACACTGCTTGGGACACCCACATATAATACCAGAGAGCCTAGTTTTGAGCCCTGGTTCTGCTTCTCATTCCAGCTTCCCACTAATGTGCACCCTGGAAGGTAGCAGGTGATGGCTTATTTACTTGGGCCCCTGCCAACCATGTGGGAGACCAGGATGGAGTTCCTGGCTCCTGGCTTAGGTCTGGCCCAGCCTCAGCCACTGAAGGCATTTGGGGACTGAATAAGCAGCTGGGCGATCTTTCTCTCTTTCTCTCTCTCTCTCTCTGCCTTTCAAATAAAAAAATATATAAAGCCCAACAAAATCGATTCTGAAAACCAGCCAAAGTCAGTGGTGAGGAGAAAAGACAACAGTGGGACAATCTCAATACGCTTTGAAAGAGGAAATAGAATACGATGAGAGCAGCCCTAGTCAAAGGTGATCATTTTGGGTTAAAAAGCTTCCGGAAAGGGCACTGTAGCGAGTTAGGTAAGAAACAACCTTAGACACAGAGATGAGGCTGGAAAATGTTTATCTGGGAGCTGTGGGTACCTTCCTGCTTCTGGGAGTGGAAACAGGAGGCTCTGGCCCTTGATTTCCACGGATCTCACTGAATCTCACACTGGGGCTCAGTGCAGGATCCACAGCCTTCTCTGCTCAGTGAAACATCCAGGCTCTCAAATTTGTCCCAGGGTCTCTTACCATCAACGTAAGCTATGAGGGGCTGCAAAACTGACCATCTATTCCTTGGGCCTAGATTGAAGAATTGAACTTTTCATTGTCATCCAGTCCCTAATCCCAGTAGACAAATCTGTCCAAGTCCAAAAGCTCAGTGCATCCAGGTTAAATTCCAGTGGCCTCCAAAAGAATTTCTGAAGCTACCCTTTATCAGCTTGTAACTGGAAAGATAAACAGAGTTAGCCTACCTGGACTATGGAGGTCACCTGGGTATTATTTATTTTTGTGAAACTGGGAACAGCTACAAAGGGCAATGGGCAACATTGTATTTCTCATTTTTTTTCCCCATGAGGATAAGAGTCATGTTATAGACATTGAGGCTATTTAAATCACCAAGTGAGTTCCGGCTACATAATTGCCATGTTTCATGAACATAGGTATCCAAAGGAAATCTGTGTTATGAGTTTGTTACCCCAGTTTTAGAAACAGAATTGTTAAAGGGCAGAAATGCCAAGATGTGCCATCTAATGGGACTACTGGGATTTCTTTTTCTGTCTTGTGGGCCATCTCCCACCTTAGGTGTCTACATTTGCAGGATCTTTTGAGTGTGAGTGATCCCTGGGAACTGTGCACACTGATAAGCCCTCTGGCCCCCTCCCAAGTGCCTCTGGAAGCAAAGCAGCCCAATACCAAAGTGAGAAATGTGGATTGAAAGCTCCAGTTGCTAGATACACTTGCCTGACAGACACGGAGGGCAAAGAGTGAGAGATGAGGTGTAAAACATCTCTTAGGAGAAGGAAACCACGCCATACATGAAATGCATTTGCACCCAAAGTGATTTCCAGATGCGTCACCTGGCTTTGCCTTAGCACTTGCGTATTTTGTTGTGCATCACACACTTCAACTTGTCAGTCAAGACAGGGACTTTGTCCACAGTGCAGGAACTGGTGTTGGATCACTTACCTTATGTACAAATTGTTCCACTCTGGTCTGAAGCCCCCAGACCTCGAACTTCACCGTCACCAGCTTGTAGGAACACATGATGGGCTGATGACTATCTCTCCAGCCTTCCCTTAACTGTCCCCGGCCTGTCTTCTCAGACTTGAAGTGTTTAGGATCCTAGAAAAAAACAATCAGAGAAAAGGAACTGGTACATTAAAAGTTCAACTATCTATATGACATGTCCAGAGTAGGCAAATCCATATGAGAGAGAAAGTATATTAATGACCTCCAGGGACTGGCGAAGCATAGGGATGTGATGTGACCACAGGTGGCCACATCTGTGACAGGTCATCCCGTCAGATGATGAAATTATTCTGGAGTTAGATAGTGAATATGAGGACCACTGAACTGTGCTCTCATTTAGAGGCTGAATTGTATGATATCTCAGTTCTGAAAAAGGGAGATCATAATAAAGTGGCAAAAAAAAAAAAAAAAAAAAAAAAAAAAAAGAAAGGCAGCTCGTCTATTTAAATGTCACCAAAAAGTGACTTAAGACTAGATTTTATGATATCGTGTTGTATTTTTCCTTCATTTTAGGGCCAACAAACTTCACACAAAGTCTAGTCCTTTAATGGGAGTACAAACTGATACAGCCGCCATGGATGGTCACTAGCAGCATCCACAAGCGTGTGCAGAGCTTAGCAGGTGCCTAACTATGATTTGATAACTCCATTTCTGGGTGCAATGAGTGCATATGGCCACCAAAAGACCATTCTAGAACATTTGCAACAGCTCTCAACATAATAGACAGAGACTGGAAGCAGCCCAGACATTCATCAGCAGGAAGCCAGATAATCCCACAGTGGAATACTACACACAAGGAAAAAGTGTTTGCTGGTGGATGCACGCGGGAAACATGTTTGCTTCCCCAGGATACTATGCTGAGCAAAAGCAGCCAGACGCAGAAGTGTGTATACATTGTGTGATTCAAATTGAAGTTCAAGAACACACAAAATTCGTCTATGGTATTGCAGCTAGGCAAAGGGGCAGAAGAGAAACCCCCGGAGTGATTTTGTGTGGATCTGGATGTAACAGGTGAACATTTGCTGAGAATAGGCATCCCTCAGCTACAAGACTGAAAGAAGAAAAATTAAAAAGGGTTTTTAAAGAATGTGTAACCACTTAATATTTGCTCAGTGATTGCCAGATGGAAATCAGCCACTGATTAGGTCACTGGCAATCATGTCTGCAGAGATACTGCAGAAGGAATGCGTAAACTAACAACATACAAAAAAAGCCAGTCTCGATGTTCAGAAACATATGTGGAACAATTACAACCACGAAGAAGGCTTGGAGCTGCTCTGGGCTTGCTCTCCAGACTCCTGATCCTGCCTCTGTGGACGGAGGCATCCAGGGAAGACAGGAGCCTCACAGGCAGAGCAGAAGCAAGAAAACAAGGTCTCCTCTCCTGCAAGGAGAAAAGTAGACAGGAAGAGATACAAAACCAGATTGGCTGGGACTGCCCTGGTCCGCTCAGCTCAGACCAGCCGGTGCCTCAGGGGTGAGGTTGGGCAGTCAAGGCAGACTGCTCACACAGACAGGTTTATGCACTTGGGGCTGGCTGCGGCGGCACACGGCTGCCTGGCGCTGCCCTTGCCTTCCCCTTCAGGTCTGTCTCCTCTGTGAGGCCACTGTGCTATGGTGCCTGCTCCCGCCATGGTGGCTCCTCCAGAAACCACAGAGCACTCCAGGAACCCACTCCACATGAGGTCAACACCAAGTCAACAACAAAGTCAGAACAGAGCCCTTATCCTCCCCACCTCCTCACCATTCCCACTCTGCGGCCAGAGGGGCTTCCCAAATGAAAATCTGACCATACCACTCCCCTCCCCCAAGCCCATCCATAGCACCCACTGTGCCACTGGGATACAACTAAAATGTCCTGACATGGAATACAAGGTCTTTCTGTTGCTGCTCACCATCTGGACCAGCATCCCAACACCATGGCTCCCCCTGTGACCCTGGGGAGCTGCTGGCAGACCCATTTGCTAAAATCCCAGGACCTGTATTGTTGCTGTGGATTCGTTCTGAGGGGAGGAGCATGGTGGGGGCAAGAGGCATGCAGCCACCACACAGACCCTGGGAGTTGGGTGAAAGCAGGACAGAGGCAAGCAGCCCACAGATTCATTTATTTCAGTTGGTACAGCAGCTTATATAGCCAAGGAAGCCAATCCAGTCAAGGGGCAGTTTATGACCTAACCAATCACAGCCTGTTGCCAGGCAGTATCTGAAGCCATCCAATCACAGCCTGTTGCCAGGCAGGCTCCGTTGCCAGATGGGTTTTGAAGCCATTACTGAGTAACTGACGCCCACTTGCCAGTGGCCATCTTGGCATTGCCTTCTCATCCCACCACACTGTATATCTCCTCTTCTGGAAGTTCCTTCTTTCTGGTCAACTTTATACTTTGCCTATATCTCCTTTTCTTTCAAGACTTATCTCAGGGGTAGGTGATTGGCCTGGCAGGTAAGAAGCCAAGTAAGACAGCTGCATCTCATATGGAGGTGCCTGGGTTAGAGTCCTGGCTCTGTCTCCTGACTCCAGCTTCCTGCCAATGCAGACCTTGGGAAGGAGTGGTGGTAGCTCAGGTAGTTGGGTACCTAATTCCCATATGGGAGACCTGGAATGAGTTCCTGGCACCTGGCTTCAACCTGGTCCAACCTTGGCTATTTCAGGCATTTGAGGAATGAACCAGAGGATGGAAGATCTCTCTTTGCCTTTCAAATAAGCAAAATCAATAAATAATTTAAAAACCCATAGAAATGCAATTTAAAAATATGCTATGTGCTACTTAGGTGGGATTTTCAAGATGGACACCAGCTTGAATTTGTCGCTATCCCCACATACGGTAACATCGTAATGGCCATTAGGCTGAGCAGGTGTTCACTGAGGGTGTGGGGAGGCCTGGTATGGACCAGGTGTCACTGTGTGCAGGTGGAAGGGTGTGTATGCAGCTGCTCAGCGATTAGACTCAACTCTGCAGGAGTGACCTGTGCTCTCTGACCTTTCTTCAAGGTCCCTCAGTGTTTGTGTGTGTTCTAGGAAGACAGAGGGCCTGGGGGAAGGAGGAAGAACCCAAGTGAGAGACATGTCTGACGTATGTACCATGGTTTGAATATTTATCCTCCCAAACTCATGCAGGAGTTTAATCTCCAAAGTCCTATGTTAATACCACTTTCCCCCACACATTTTTATTTCTTTTCCTTAACTTAATTGAACTGGATAGGTCCTCCAGGGCAATGGTGAATATAAGCAGTGATAGCCTTGCTTTGTTCGTAATTTTTTTTTAAAGAGATTTATTTACTTGAAAGGCAAAGCAATTGAGAGAGAGGGAGAGAAAGAGACAGAAAAAGAGAGAGTGCTTCCATCCACTGGTCCACTCTCCAAATGGCTGCAACAGCCAGGTCTGGGCCTGGCCATAGGAGCTCCATCCTGGTCTCCCCTAAGGATGGCAGGGGCCCAGGCACATGAGCTATCCAGCCCCACCTTCCCAGGTGCATCAGTAGGGAGCTGGATCGGAAGTGAAGGTGGAACTTGAATCAGCACTTCACTGATACAGGATGCCAGGGTGGCAAATGGCAGCTTAATCCACTAGGCCACAACACTGGCCTGCCCAATATGTAAAAGTATTAAGAGGATGGAAACTGAATTTGACTATGATGTTTGTCAGTGGGACCTTCGGAGGGTGATTAAATAGCATTTGGTCAGTAGGTGGAGTCTCCGGGTTAGAAGGGGGACACAGATGCAGAAGTGCCCACGTGCTCACTCCGTGGCATGATACAGTCCACAGGGCCTCCCCGCCACAGCCAGCTCTGTGCTGTTGGGACCTTCTATGTCCAGAACTGTGAACCAGAATGAAACTCTTCCCTCTCTAAAGTAGCCTGCCCAGGTATTGTGTTAGAGGAATGAAAAGCTAACACAGAATGGAATACAAAGTCTGTTCTGGAATGGAATAGAACAAGATTGACAAAGGGATTCTGGGAAGGGGGAAGCGAAAGAGAACGAATGACAACTATCCCAGGGGAACAAGTGTCTGTGTGATGGGGACAGTGACTTTGGCTGTAGCAGCACATCTGAAGCTTTCTTACTCACTTTTGTGGTGCTGCTTGTCCCTTGCCTGAACCAACCCAGTAACTGCCCTTGAAAGATTATAATAATTTAATAACATGATACATGAAAAAGGCCTACATGCAAGGCCAGCCCATAGCAAGTGCTCAATTGATGATGGCCGTTATTGCATGTCCTGAGACAGCCAGAGGAGCCTTTAAGAAACATGTCCAACCCTGCAGTCCAGAGCAGAGAGAGCAAGCTTGTCCACAGCACCCTGGAGCTGCCCGGGAAACACCTGATGTTTAATGCCAGGGGACTAATTTTTGCTAGCCTCGTGTTCTTATACCATATAATGCCATGGAGATAAAAGATTATGATGATTATAATAATCAGAAGTGGGAGAAAACATTTGGAGGTGAAGGATGGTTTTGTGGGATACATTGTGGTGAGGCTTTCATAAGTACAAATGCAGCTCCAAACTCATCACGCTGTGTACATGTTATGTACAGCTTTCTGTCCATCAAAAAATAAAGAGAATTGAATTAGAAGGAATAAAAAGAGAGGACCAAAAAAAAAAAAATCAAGAGATGTATCACCAAGCAGACTATGACAGACCATCCTTACACATGGCGGCCACTCACTCTCCCCTCACCGTGCTGGGGTGTTGCCAGTTCAGACTTTTTTTTTTTTTTTTTTTAAGATTTATTTTATTTACTTCAAAGGCAGAGTTACAGAGAGAGGGAGAGATGGCTGCAAGGTTGGGGCTGGGCCAGGCTGAAGCCAGGAGTGTCTTGCAGGTCTCCCATGTGGGTGCAGGGGTCCAAGCACTTGGGCCAACTCTTGCTGCTTTCTCAAGTCATTAGCAGGGAGACAGATTGGAAGTGGAGCAACCAGGACTTGAACTGGTGCTCATAAGGGATGCCAGCACTGCAGATGATGCTATGCCACAATGCCAGCCCCCAGTTTAGACTTCTAAAAGAAGCTGGAAACCAGAAACTGGAAGCCTGCCAGTGCATAAAGACTAGTCTGATAACCTTAGACCACTGTGCCGTGAGGACGCTAAAGCTAG